GCTAGCTGGGAATGAAATGCTACGCATGGTCGAGACATTCGACTAGTTAGTGATTATTTCATTCTTAGATTCTTACATGTTGCTCCTTTAAATTTATTTCTTATGCGTTCACGTTTCATCTCTCCACTCCCACGTTTTCCTGGCCCTTTAGAGGCAGACGGCCGCCCACCCGGTGTCTGGTTCATCCTCTTTAAAAGAAGTTGTTTTTTTCTTCTCACTGTTGCAAAGCCTTACACAAAAGGGAGTTGTTGTGTTTCTCTACAGTATACCAAGGTCCCGACCCGTCAATCTAAAGTGCCCCAAGATGACTTGTCCTATAATTTGCAGCTATTTAAATCAAATTGAATTGAACTGATTTTCATTAGTGCTCCATCCATCCATCCATCCAGAGCTCTAAAGTCAAGTCGTGTTGGAGAATGCCGCTCTTCTCATTAGGCTGTGAGGTAGAATAATCACGTTGTTAGACTTTGATACAGGGCTGCAGCCAAGCTGCTCTAAAGTGTTACCACTTTAAATAAAGCATCTTTTCATGCTCTCTTTCATCAGTTTGCTCTCTAAATTAATACAAATACATCAAATTAAACTAAGTTATGTTGTTTGTTAGTTTATGCTAATTAATTAAAACGCATCAAACTGTATTGCAGCTATGTTTGCTGCAAAATAAATATATTTATTTTTAATTTAAAAAGCAGCAGCTCATTAGTGAAAGGACAGGCCAGTCGTGCCTCAGGTTTCACAAGCAGCCATTTTTAAATAAGCATGCTTATTGCTGGTTCCTCCTGCAGCCACTAAATTAATGTAGGATACATGTTGGAGCAAGGGGTTATAAAATAATAAGGGTTTTGGAGCCTTGTGTTACAATACAGTAACTATGTTAAGATAAGTCGTCCTTCGGCCAAGTTAATTATGGCTGACATTTAAAAGAGGGCACTCCTGCTGAAGCAGGTGGAGGAAGCGAGAGAGGAGTGCCTTTTTTTAATTGAGTTTGTTGCTGGCGCCGCCCTTGATTATGCTTTCGTTCTGCAGGGAGCAGATATGTGAAGTGCAGCCGAATGAGGCTTTCTGTGGAGATATTAATACTGGGTTTGTTATACCCTACTCCATCCATATCTACACTATCGTTCCCTTTATTAGCATGTGATTTAGAGAGAAAAAAACGAAGCAAAGCTGACCTACATACTGAACCTGGCAGGAAATCCATATGTCTGATCGTGTGCTTCGTGTAGAGATCTCAGTCTGCAACATAAGTCTTTGGTGTCACGTCCTATGCTCCTCAGCAGCATGGATGTTTGAAGCGTCTTTGAAAGGACACGTTTGGGTGTTTGTACTTTCCTTTGCTGTTTTTCTTTTTCTACTGTTCAATATTCAGTAATTAACCAAACTACCGAACTAAAGGGTCTGAACTGCTTCTGTGTCCACATGTAACCTCAGACCGGTCCCATAATGTGGAGATCAGGACTCTGTGGGGACCACACCATCTGTTGCAAGACTCCATATTCATTTCTGTGATCGGCCAGCCTTCTTCCTCTAGACCAGGGGTGTCATACTCATTTTAGCTCAGGGGCCACATTGAGGGAAATCTAGTCCCAAGTGGGCCGGACCGGTAAATAAATAAAAAAAAACTTCAGATTGTTTTCTTTGTTTTAATACAATCAATATGAAACAAGGCTGGAGCCTGAGGACAGTGTAGTACAAGTACAACACCTGAAGTGTACTTGAAAACTTGAAAAAAATAAATAATCAATAAATAAAAAAAACATTCCTTAGTGATTCAAAGAGCTTACAGATCACATGGCAAGATCTGTTCCATGCAGCACTTAAAGTATATTTGACTCATTTTACTTAACATCTTTTAGCACATCAATATCAGAAGTCACATCCTGAGTGGCGTCCAACTTCAGGATGGAATTCAAGTTCTTGTGTGAGCCTTGAGTGCAGCTTTGTTTTATTTATACTCATTACAGAGAAAACTTGCTCACAAAGATAAGTTTATTTTCACTCTACATTGTAAAGTATGAAAATAAAGTTTTCACAACCATCTCACGGGCCGGATTTAACCTGCTTGTGGGCCGCATGTTTGACACCCCTGCTCTAGACTCATTTGATGATGTTATGGCCTAATATTACCTCCCCCTCCACTCTACAGCTATGGCAGACTTCCACGTCCAACCAGAGTCGGTGCTCGCTGAGGAGTCTGGTGTGGCTCGTTTCCAGTGTCAGATCCACGGTCTACCAGAACCTGTTATTAGCTGGGAGAAGGACAGCCGTCCTGTGGACACTGCAGACGAGAGGTCGGGCAGATTTATGTCATGGAAACGACGCCTTTTTTGTTGCATAACTTATTTTTTTAAAGTGTGGTTGTGTTTTCCTTTTAGGTACACTCTTCTACCAACAGGTGTTCTGCAGATCACAGGTGTGCGTGAGGAAGACAGTGGCAAGTTCTGCTGTGTGGCTCATAACAGCGCGGCAGTGAAGCACAGCGCAGAGGCGCTCCTTACGGTTTCTGGTTGGTGTTGTTGAATTTTCACTCACAGATTCATTTTTTTACATCATGTAACCATGAAGGCAAAAAGCACAGTTTTAAATGTCTTTTTTTTTGTTCTAATCTAAAAATCTCAGCTTAACACTTTGCAATATTGTTACTTAGTGCATAATTAAGCATTAATAAAATATCAAATAAAGTATTAGCAACTGCTTCACCATGTTAAGTAATGCATCAGACACTTCCCCACAGCCCATTGTCCTAATCTTAAGGATGCTTAATAGTTAAAATGACAATGTGTAGTTTTTACCATCAGTCGTTGATGCTAATGGTGTGGAACACTGAAAAACCATTTTTAATGATTATTTCTGATGCTAATCGGTCACTCTGAGTTTGTCATGCAGGGTGAACTTGAAAACAGTCTCCGACACCTATCTCCTGCGTTAGCTTCTGATATAAAATTGAAGGTGAAAAGCTAGAATTTGAAAATCCACACACTGTGATGTCACACTGCGAATTTACGTTCATGGTCTCACCCATTTTTGCTCGCGCCCACCCACGGGACGGCTTTAAAAAAATATTTTTGCAGCGAGGCGAGGGAGCGGAGAACGTGACTTTGCAACCAAACACATTCTGTTAGCCAATGAGATGCTTTTATTATGCTTTTTTCAGCCCACCTCTGCACCAGCAAACTTTAGCATCTTTGAACAGGAGCATCGTAGCCTTTTCTTTTTTAAATGACTCATAAGGCATTGATTTCCACTAGAGAACACTGTAAATGTATTGAATAAACGAGTAAACCACACCTTAACGGCCACCCGTTGGTAAGGTCTTACTCGACCACAAAAATGCAGCTTGCTTGCAATAATTTCGGTCTGTACTGCCCCCTATCACCAGGGAAAATACACACCATCACTTTAACAATAACGGTAATGCTAGTAAAGGGACCCTTTGTTTATTAATCCTTAATATTGCACTGAGTAATGTTAATACCGTTTTTATAGGGTGTTATGAATCTCAGTCCAGCTAGCTTAAAGGGACTTCATGGAAGTTTGACAGCCAAAACATGTATAGAAATAATAAATTTCTTCTCCATACATTCTCCTGCAATGCCCTGGTCCTGTAGAATGAGCCCTGGCATTTTTACTGTGATTGCCTGTTTTTCTGTAAAATCACAGAAAAAGAGAGTTGCTCGGGTCGAGCAGGCTGCTTCATGTGCGTTCACGCTCAGGCATAGCCCGTAGCATTTGCTATCCGTAGCTTTAGCAGCAGAGAGAGAGGTAGTGCCAACTCAGCGACTTTGTCGCTGTTCCTAACGCCTAGTGATGAACCTAGCTACATTTCTGAGGACCCTTAGCTACTTTCTGTAGAACTTTCTTCTCGATATTTCCTGCAAATTAGCAACAAAATAGCCATTTTTGCTCCGAACCGTTCTTTGGTTTGACGTTGTTTCAGGTGTTATCAAGGATATAACAGATACAGATGCTATGAATGTTACTAGAGTGTAGCTCACCTTGTAAGATGTCTGACTCCCATGCAGAATACCTGGGTTTGATTCTGGATGTGAACATAATTTATATAGAGATTCTTTTTTACATTAATGGTATATTTTTTACAGTAAGATGCCCAAATTTTTATTTGAGACTCGCCGAACGGCATTGCATTCACAGATAAAAAAGATGTGGGTTCAACTTTCATTTTGGAACAATTTTTCAAGCAAGGGAAGGGAATGATCTGAGCGTGCAGGAGGACTGACCCATCTTAAACCTTTGTCAGCTGTGCTGAAGAGAAAGGTACAGAACCAAATTATTTAATTAATTAGCTGCGCGTTCTCCTGTCCTCTGTCCTCCGGGCCACACACACACACACACACACACACACATGGGACTGTCTCAGCTGTTATTTTCGTTAAGGAGTGTGCACGTACAGCATGCGCGCCTCGTGCACGAGCCTACTATTGAAGCTGCCGATACGCTTTTGGCCTGAGGGGGCAATCGCGAGCATAAAAATTCAAAAGTGCGAAAAGTCCCTTTAAATGTTCTCTTTCCTTTGTTCTCAGACTCCCAGTCATCTGTTTACAAAGAGCCGATGATTGTGGTCGGCCCAGAGAACCTGACCCTGACTGTTCACCAAACTGCCATCTTGGAGTGTGTTGCTACGGGATACCCTCGACCCATTGTGTCCTGGAGCAGACTAGGTGAGGAACAATTCTGATACATCAACAACACAGTTTGTGCATGAGGGAGCGTGTTTTAGGTATTATTTGTCACAGAGCTGAGAAACAATTAGACCGAATTTGTGAAAAATGAAAGGCCCATGAGTCTCCTGTTGTCCTGCACGGTTTAATGCAGATGTGTACACAAAATGCATTTCAGACAGTAAATCTGTTGTGCATACACAAGTCATTGGGAGTCAGCATAAAGCCTCGGGACTAAACATTATGCGTAACTCTGTGTTGATAAATTCACGCTTCATTTCCTCGAGAAGCCGAGCTTCCTCAGAAGCGCCAGAGAGCCTACTCGGAGTAATTTCCACAAGCTGCTCAGGCAGATACGATTAGTTTCTCCTCCCAACATGCAAATTCCTTTTCTCAACCATCACTCAGAGTCTGTCCAGAACAATTTTTCAATCTCCCATCTATCTGTTTTCTTTACCTATTATCCAGCCTGGTTTGCTGCTCCTAATATAAATTGCCGCCCCTCCCAGGCACTCAGGTAATCAGATTGACAGTATTGCCTTACACAACGTTAGCAGAATGAAATGCTAACACTGGGGGATTTGTATGTATTCGATTATGGCAGGGAGGCCAGGATAAGCTGGATAATGAATCTGATAGTTTCACATCAGTCACTCCTTAATGCCACAGTTAGTTTGTTGCTATTCATTGAGCTGCACCAATGCCTGCTGTAGCTTTGCACTCTTTCTTTCCTGACAGTAAATTAATTAGAGGCCGGCTGAGAGAAGCTGACTGAGAGTGGAGGCAAGAGAGAGAGAATGAAACGAATAAAGAAAAACTGCTTTTGTTGAGACAAAAGCCTAATGGACAGTCATTTCTCAGCGTATAAATCAACAAAATATCAATAAAATGCATCTTAATTGTTGCAGCTCAACAAAACCACTCAGCAGCAGCATTAGGGTGATTTATTTGTGTGTGAATCAACATCTATTAATCACAGCTCAATGCAAAAGATGATAAACTGATCACTGACCTGGTGGTTTGTGCCTACCGCCACTATCCGTCCCCGCTCGGCCTTCCAACACACCAGACCTGGACCATACAGGCTGCAGATGGATGTCATAGATGGGATTAGGATGCCCCCTTGGCCCCACAGCTAATATCTGAGGCAGGCCGAAGTCATTGTTGGGTTTGACACCTCAGATAGGGGGCACAGGGAAGTGTGAGCTTATCGTGTAGCTGCAGCGAGAGCAGAAAGGAGGTTTCTACTGATTGTGTGAGGAAATAGATTACAAGTCACAGTTTCTGGTGTGAGAGTGGCGGCTGAGAGATCTCAGAAAAATGGTAAAGACATGGTTTAATAACGAGAAGCTGCAGTCAAACTTAAAAAAGGTTTGATTGTTGTTAAAACCTCAGAAAACCCAATGATGTTTTTCTAAATAAAGGATATGCACTCCAGTGTTGTGCAGACAATGGTCAAAAGCAGCTAGTGAGAAAAACACCTGCAGCAGGTACTTCACTTAAACGGCAGATTCAAACTCCCTGACCTTCCTCCTGCTTGTTGCATCAGCGGCTTCATCACATTATGATTCTGTGCGTCGCGCGCTCTGAGAGCCGCATCCTTGAGGGACAAAAATAGCACGGCCTCTGTCAGTTCTAGGTTGTGCTCTCACATCAAATTTGGTCTTTTTATATACTGGTGTTTTAATCCCACCTTAATCCCCACTCACACACACGCTTACCCGCGCCTGTTAATCACCTTTTTCTAAAAAAAAAAAATTGCCCTAAATTTGTCTCATTTATTCTGACTCTCCTGATTAGATGGCCGGCCCATTGGTGTGGAGGGAATTCAGGTACTCGGCACAGGGAACCTGATGATCTCAGATGTTGGTGTGCAGCACTCAGGCGTCTACGTGTGTGCTGCTAACAAACCAGGAACCCGCGTCCGGAGGACGGCTCAAGGACGCCTAGTGGTCCAAGGTGAGACCCGGATGAGAGGAATGTTTTTAAGGAGATGCTGAGCTCAGGAACGGTGTGTGATAAGCTTGCGGTGTAGTGGGTAGAAGATGATTACCGTAACATTAACGGAGGCATGTCTGCGAAAAGCTAGAGCATCGTCTCTGCCAGGAAGATCAAGAGCTCTGTGATTTATGTAGGTGGGCTTTAATTTGAATACATAAATAGCAAGTGGCTGTTGCAGATTTATCATACTTAAGATGTTTGCACCCAGAGAAAAGAGCATGTTTGTTAAAAGCAACATTTTATAGATTCAAGCAACAGTTTAGGGTTGTTTTTGGCACAGGCCGGGTACAATGCTCTAAATATCCCTCTCCCAAACATTTTGGAACACTGTAAAAAGCCAAAGGTAACAGATCATTTACTGCTGTGGCTCCCAGACTCTGGAGCTGTCTCCCCCAGAGCCCGGGATCTGTGGACTCAGTGGTCTCCTTTAAGAAGCAGCTGAAGACTCACTTGTTCAACCTGGCTATGGTGGGATATATATATATATATATATATATATATATATATATATATATATATATATATATATATATATATATATATCACATTTATGGAGGCATGTCTGATTACTTAGCTTTTTATGAAATAGAGAGAGCATGGATTGCTTTTCATTTGTAGGGACCAATAATGTTGTCATGGTTTCATTTGGGTCAGAATAGTAAAGAGCAGGTCTTTAGACCTAATTGATAGGAATTACGCATTAATGTTGTGAGCTTGGATGCAGAAAAAAATTGGAATTTAATCAACCTAAATACAAATAAAAAATAAAATATAAAATTATGGTTATTTTTTTATATTTGTAAGAAATGTCATAGAATTATCTAGTACAAGCAAAGACACATTAGCAACAGCTATCATTCAGGAAAAGGAATATATTATTATTATTATTATTAGTAGTAGTAGTAGTAGTAGTAGTAGTAGTAGTAGTAGTAGTAGTAGTAGTAGTATTAACATTTATTTATTCTGCAAAAAAATGAGATCTGCTTTGGCCTTGTTGTATTCAGACCATCATCATCTCTCAGCTGAGGTTGTCCATGCAGCTATTTCAGTGGCTAGTGTTCATATGTCATAATTTTTATGAGCAACCTTTGAAATGGCCAAAAACATCATCCATTTTCATCCGCTTATCCGGAGTCGGGTCGCGGGGGCAGCAGCCTAAGTCGAGAGGCCCAGACTTCCCTCTCCCCAGTCACTTGGGCGAGCTCCTCTGGGGAAATCCCAAGGCGTTCCCTGGCCAGCTGAGAGATACCGTGTCCTGGGTCTCCCTTTAGTTCTTCTCCCGGTTGGACATGCCCGTAAGATCTCACCAGGGAAGCGTCCAGGAGGCACCCTGACCAGATGCCCGAGCCACCTCAACTGGCTCTTCTCGATGTGGAGGAGCAGCAAATCTACTCCGAGCCCCTCATGGATGACCGAGCTTCTCACCCTATCTCTAAGGCTGAGCCCAGCCACTCTTCGGAGAAATCTCATTTCGGCCGCTTGTATCCGCGATCTCGTTCTTTCGGTCACTACCCAAAGCTCATGACCATAGGTGAGGGTAGGAACGTAGATCGACCGGTAAATCGAGAGCTTCGCCTTCTAACTCAGCTCTCTCTTCACCACGACAGACCGGTACAACGCCCACATCACTGCAGATGCAGCACCAATCCGCCTATCGATCTCACGCTCCAGTTTTCCCTCACTCGCGAACAAGACCCCGAGATACTTAAACTCCTCCACTTGGGGCAGGACCTCATCCCTGACCCAGAGAAGGCATACAAATGGATCATTAAAAGGTATAATATACCTTTTAATGATCCATTTGGCTTTGAGCTTTACTTTTCAGTCAAAAGTTTGACTTGGTTTATGTGCTGTGGTCTTTATGTATTTTCTCAGCTCTGAAGTCATTACTGTTGAAGGTGCTTGATGGTGACTCAAAAACACAAAACGTTCTGATGACAACAGAAAGAATAAGACCTGGTGCATTAGTTGTCACATAAAGAAGGAAACAGCCAACATACCTTCCTCATTGATCGGATAGTCCCCTCTGCTTCAGCCCATAGTGGTATTGATCCTAATCAATATTTCATTTCATCAGCCTGCCAAGTCCAAGACAAGCGCTTGCCTATTAGGGACTAAATCCTTGGCCATTAATTCTGTGTTTTCTTTAGTTTTTGCTGATAATTTATGGGGAGAAAGTCAAACTCTTACCTCTGGATGCATTTTTATGAGTCAGATCTTGTTCAGCATGAGAGAAAAATGTTTTACTGCCTGTCCTAGTGGAACCGGTCCATTAATCTGTGGAAATACGCCACTTGACTCCTCTGTGAATATGAGAGTTTCAATGACTATCAATTCAGAGAAGTTCATCGGTCATAAACTTCAACTCCAGAAAGATGCAGACGAGAGTTCTTCTGTAACGCACCAACAAATGGACTTCCTCGGTACATAAGTTCATTTTAAACTCATTTCAGGAGGAACAAAAGCTGAAAGAGGAGTCAAATTGTAGGAAAAGGCAAGAGCATGACGGATGTCTGGTGCAGATGATCTGACCCACACCTTTAGCGGTGCAAATCAATTTCATCCGAAGCTGCCTCTGATCTCCACCTTTGAGTCAGCTTAGAAAAATAAAAACCAGCAGAGGAGAAGAAAACAGACGATGAGGCTTGGAAAGGGAAAGATAAATGAAAGGACCGCGTCTCGCTGTCAGCTTCCTTCTTCATTTAATTACCTGGAGGCACCTTTGCTTTTCTAACATACGGATGAAAATGTATCAGACAATAGCAGCAGGGAAAACAAACTGGAGCTGAAGTTTACCTGGAGGTTAATCGAATTAAAATAGATTGCTCCATTGGATAAGAATCCTGCTTTTCCATAATTCTCCCATCAGTTTGTCAGTCTTTCTGTGCGGCCGATCCCTGATGGAGTTTGGCTCCTTCGCTGGCCAAGACGATAGCATTACTGATGTTTATTTTTTAAAAGTTAAAGTTAAAGTCCCATTAGTTGTCACACACACAGGTATGTGTGCGAAATTTATTCTCCGCATTTGACCCATCCCCTGGGGGAGCGGTGAGCTGCAGACAAGCCGCGCTCGGGAACTATTTGGTGGTTAACCCCCCAATCCAACCCCTTAATGCTGAGTGTCAAGCAGGGGGGCATTGGGTCCCATTTTTTCAAAGTCTTTGATATGACCCGACCAGGAGTCGAACCCTGATCTCCCAGTCTCAGGGCGGACACTCTACCACTAGGCCACTGAGAAAGGTTTAATGAATATTACTGCTGCAGTTAACTTTGAGACATGCATTTTAAATCAATCTGTATTTTACAAACTAAAAGCATTTTCAACAGAAGTTCGGCAAACTCGTGTTTTTAACTCAATGACATTTTTGCATCAAACACAGAGCTTGTCCGAACCCACCGACGCCTTTGCCTTGCAGCTTTTCCCCATCCAGTTAGCCCAAGCCCAAAACATAATACAAATCAAACAATCTGGCTCATAAAACTCCGTACATCATACTGTGATATTTTATGAGATGCATTTAGTAAAACAGTTTGTTTTTGCATAATGAATCAAGGTAATTAAATCCATGATAAGGGAGCCGCTGAGTCTTGTTTCGTCACAGGTTAGTTTGGGTTTTACGAGAAATTAGACTCCTCTTTGTTTCCTTTTCCCATCTCTGTACTCTCCTCCCCCACACTCGTTTACTTCATCGATCCTGTCTCTTTCATAATCATGGTAATTGACCTTTGCTTGAATTATAGGTTGAAACTAGTGTTTACACCTCACAGCTTTACCCCAGACTCTCATATTACCCTGTCATTCTCCGCTTTGCTTTTTCCTCCTGAGCTCAGAATCCAGTTCAAAGCGTTTTATTTCCTGCTCAGAGGCATATTAGAGCAGGTGAGTCCTTTTGCTAACGAGAATGTCACCTTCCCATCAGCTCCAGCCGAGTTCGTTCAGCCTCCTCAATCCATCGCCCGGCCAGTCGGCACCACCGCCATCTTCACCTGCCAGGCTCAAGGCGAGCCCGGACCGCAGCTCACCTGGCTGAAGAACGGACAAGTTCTAGAGACCGGTCGACATGTCAAACTCAGGAACAACAACAGGTAAAAGAACGAAAAGAAGACACGTGCGTCGCTGTTACCCGGTGTCCTCTTCTGTGTAAAATACTGTTTACCATTTTATTTTTACAAAAATAAATACATGAAATTTCACAGAATCTGTTCAAATAAAGCCCTTCTTGGAAGCGTATAAACATATTTGCATTGCTTCAATGAAAGCACCCGAGTCTGCTGGAGTTCGTGTGACATTGTTTAATCATCAGAGGCTTCATTCAAGGCTCCATCTGTTGCCACTACACATGCTTTGAAGATTTCAACCTCCAGTTGGTAAAATAGGATTGTGTCATTGTGATGAAGTGAAAAAAGATGCCATAAAATCAGTGAAGACGTCCCAGACGGAGGTTACATCCAACCAAGCAGCAAAGACCCCCAACAGTGATGAAAAACCGTATGAGCAGCGAGAAAATCACAGAAAACAAAACCCAAATGGGGATGAGCGGCTGTGGATTCAGCTGAGATGCAGCTAACATTTGGGCCTATAATTAGACAAACATTCAAAGACTAAATGAAACCGATCAGGAGGGTGGAGGAATTCAGGATGAGAAATGTGGATGAAAATGTGGCTTTTTGTCAGATATTTGAACACACATACTTCTGCTTTTAATGAAAACATGTTGATTCATTCACCTCAGCAAACTTAATATAATTAAAAAAAACAAATTAACAGGGTATTGTTGACTCAAACATGTACAGAAAGTAACTTAGCTATGAACATTTGCTTCAAATAATTAAATCTACTGTCAGACGTTTCGGTCTAACATCATGTGTCTCCCTGGACTGGGACTCTAATGGAAGGGAATGGGAGTGTTGCTAAGCAATTCCCTGCCAGGACAACAGGGGGCGTAGCACTTTTCCAGGGTGGTCATTCTCTTTATGCAGTCACCACCTTTAAACTGCTTTAAACCCATGTGTCCTGCAGTTTTTTTCCACAAAATAAAAGTCTGCTCCACATATTTGTGATCCATCAGTGAAGTTTGTTGAACAATTATATCTCTGGACTTGTCCCACGAGATGTTCTTAGATCTGCTCCGTGTATGCTGCTAAATATCCTTACCCATCTGTGCTTTGCGAAAATGGTGGTTTGACGACTTTAAAAGATGTGGTTCGCTCGTTTTTTCAAACATTTGCAGTGGTCTCTAGTAGGAATCAGTGCCTTGTAAGCAGTGTTGGGCAAGTTACTTCAAAACTGTAATGCATTACTTGTTACCCTCATTTTAAAGTAATTCATTACATTACAATATTACTGATTTTAAATTGTAAGGCATTACACTGCTTTTGCATTACTTTAAGTTAAATTCACCAAAACAACTTCAATATGATTCTGGTAATGTGACGCTCAGTGAGCTCATGACTAATATGTGGAAGGTGATGTGGTGTCTGAGCTAGGGTTGCTGTTAAAAACAGATATAATAACAGTGCTTTAAAATGATTGTTTATTAAATAAAAGCAACAACAATCTGTACTCTCAGCATGCTGCCATCTTATATTAACTGAGCAGGGAGTGAGGTGGTGGGGGCTCCAAGCCTATATTTGCCTTGGTCCCCAAATGCCTTGATACGGCCCTGGATGTGGGACTGACTTCTGGGGTGATCTGATTCTATCACATGTATAAATATTAAATGAGTATATATTATTGCTTTCACTGGTAAAAATGTGTATTGGGGGTAAATCTACCTACTTTTTTCTTGATTTTATTTGAATAATTTCCGGCCCTTTCTCTCTCTAACCTTCCTGCATGCTGCATGTTTTCTCCGTCTTCCAGAAAAAACTGTTTCCTAGACTTCCTACTTTCTATCAGCCAAAGGGATCTTCACATGCGCTGCACTCCAACAGTAATGAGTTGAAATCACCGGGGCACAGATTATGAACTCAGCTGAGGCAAAACACGTCAGAAAAGCACAAAATACCAGAGAATATGTGCTGATATGAACGATCGCAAGCAAATTATTTTGTTTTAGTGGAGCGATTTTGTGAATGTTACAGCGGCCGCGTGCAGGACGCAGTTGAGCCGTTACCGCGGCGTCCTCTCTGCCCGCAAAGCTGAGTCCATAAATGACGTAATATATGCAGGTACTGGATTTTTCTTCCCGCAATTTGAATTTTTAAGGAACACATCTTGATTCTGGGTTTAAAAATGCATTGTAATTACCGCGTTACTGACAATTGTACCGAGTAAATATTACCATTTTCTTTAATGCCTTACATTACCACATTACAGCAAAAAGCAATGCATTACAGTAATTAATTACTTTTGTACCGCATTACTCCCAACACTGCTTGTAAGTCGTACTTGAGGGGAAAAGGTTAGAATGCGCCTGTTTCCGGAAGTACAAGCCAGCTAGAGGAGAAAGTAGCTTCAGGCAGCAGGATTTGGAGTCTTATTTCCTGATATTTGGTCATCTTGCATCAGAATGGCTAACAGCAACGCAGCTCTGCCACTCTGCCTTGACTCTAACCCTGACTGCATTTGTTTTGCAACGTTGATGATTTATCTCCACAAATCACACAAGCCTGAAGGCGTTCTGCTATGTGGTGGGGTTGCTAATGCTAACGGTTAGCTTCTAGTTGAGACATTTTCTACTGTTTTCTTAATGCTAAACCAACAACAGGCTTCTTCGTCTGTGGGTGAGTGCATGAATGTTAAGTGACAGTGTGACGTAGATCTGAACTGAGCATTTTTACCTATATTTTCTATCAGATAGGTGTAAGGGACTCTTTTCACAGGCAGCCTGCTAGTTAAACACAGAGTGACTAATCAATTTCGAAAATTACAATTAGAAATCATTCAATTACTCAATGAATAAAAATCATTTCTCAGTGAGCCTGCTCTTTAAAGGAAGTGGCATGCTGACCAATCACAGCTTTCAACAGGCGTTTTTAAGTATCGGACATGTCTCACAGTCTGCCGGCCGCCTGCTGAATGTTTGTTTCAAAAGTTGACGGTGTTGCCTGTCTCTTCACCCCCGCTGATGAGATATGTCTGCCATGTATGGCTGAAACGCTACAAAAGTGTTTTATGTACCGATTCAACGAGATTCCAGCAAAGATCCACGTCTATTTTTGTAGTTCGTTGAGATGTGGCTTTATTTAAAGGGGCATTATGGAAGTTTGACAGCCAAAACATGTACAGAAATAATAAATTTCTTCTTCATACATTCTCCTGCAATGCCCTGGTCCTGTAGCATGACTAGGTTCATCACTAACACCTAGTGATGAACCTAGCTACATTTCTGGGGACCCTTATGTAGCGTTATTAAGATCCTATTGTCTGCCCTTAACAGCTGCCCCTTCACACAGTAACATCGCCTAGGTCGGATGCTGGGTTCAGTATGTTTACATTCCAGGAGAAGAGACATTAATGGTATATTTTTTTTACAGTAAGATGCCCAAATTTTTATTTGAGACTCGCTGAACGGCATTGAATTCACAGATAAAAAGATGTGGGTTCAACTTTCATTTTGGAACAATTTTTCAAGCAAGGGAAGGGAATCTCTTAGGTGTGTTCTTGCTGTGTCGTATCTCTAATTCCATGCTGTAGTTCTTTTTTAAACACAGAGCAGTTTGTCATGGTCTGCGTCTGCGTCTTCCTTCATGTGTCTCCTGATGTTTCTCCATCCCTCTCTAGATTCCCTTCTGTGTCTCATAGCGCCCTCATGTGTCCTTTGTCTGTGTCTCATTTATGTGTCTTCTTTTTGTAGGCCTTCATATCATTCCCTCAGGTCCGGTGTTCATTTAGTCAGCCTCAGCCCCTCCAGTTGTAGCTCCAGCCTCTTTGTCCGCAGCTCAGTGTGTGTGTGTCATCCCCCAGCTCAGTGTATGTGTGTGTGAGTGTATGTGTGTGTTATTGTGTATGTGTGAGTACTCCCCTCAGTCTTAAGGTTTAGTTTTGTGTTTATAGTTTTAGGTTTATCTGTCCTCCTTTGGTTCTGTTTCCCCACATAGGTAATCATTGTCACCTGCCTTCCCTCCAGCCCTCACTCCACACACCTGCTTCCTGATTCCTTAATTGTTCTCCCTGTGTATTTAAGCCCTGTCTTGTCTCTGTTTGGTGTCGGTCCATTGTATTGTTGTCAGCGTTTGTTCGTGCTCTTTGTGAGCTTTTTGTCTCCAGGTTTTAGGTGCTCCAAGAGAGCTTTCAGTGACCTGTATTCAGGACCTTTGATTCATCTGACTTTGTGCTCTAAGAGAGCTTTGGGTGTCCTGTGCTCCAGGACTTTTGGACTTTGGCTCGCTGCCTTGGATTAATTTTTGTTCTTTCATCCTGCAAATAAAAGGATTTTTACTTTGAATTAACTTCTGCCTCCTGTCGTCTGGGTAATCTGCATATTTGGGTCCTAAACATCCCCACAACGTGACACAGTTTTGTTTACCTGTTTTCCCGCTACATTTCGTTTGCGGCTGCAAACTTCCTCAGGCTGAGGAAGGCCTGAGGAAATTTGCAGCCTCAAACGAAACGTAGCAGGAAAACAGGTAAACAAAACTGCTCTGTGTTTTAAAAAAGAACTACAGCATGGAAAGGGAAGGGAATGATCTGAGCATGCAGGAGGACTGACCCATCATAAACCTTTGTCGGCTGTGCTGAAGAGAAAGGTACAGAACCAAATTATTTAATTAATTAGCTGCGCGTTCTCCTGTCCTCTGTCCTCCGGGCCACACACACACACACACACACACACACACACACACACACACACGGGACTGTCTCAGCTGGTATTTTCGTTAAGGAGTGTGCACGTACAGCATGCGCGCCTCGTGCACAAGCCTACTATTGAAGCTGCCGTTACACTTTTGGCCTGAGGGGGGCAATTGCGAGCATAAAAATTCAAAACTCCTTAAAGTCCCTTTAAAAATGGTGGTGTAGAGAAGGTTAAAACGATGGTTTCTGTAACAGTGTTAACATGTAATGGTGTTCTTTTTTACTTTGTTGGTTATCCAATTTCACTTTCTTTACTTCTTCGTTGTTCACAGAGTGTAAGGGTTTGTTG